GATACCTAAAACGTTGCTATACGCGTTGAAGTTTACTTTTCAGTCGGTAGACTTCGCAATCGACTCGTATAACAATACTAACTGTTATCTAGTTATATTATATGAGAAAAAATTCAATTCGAAAAACCCCTCAGAGCTATACTTCTTCGAAAAGGAAAAACAACAGAGATGACTCTTGACTAGATTAAAGAAGCGAAAAATGATATAGCCTACGCAGATTTTCTATGAGACCATCCGCTCTGGCTGGAGAGTTTTACATTGATTTGAAAATTGCAGGTAGATAGGATATGCGAAAAAAATATAGCCATGGAATGGGGGGTTTTGTGACTATGAATAAATTTGTATCATATTCACGCCTTAAATTTGCACTAGAGCCAATATATATTCTGGTCCTAAAACACTTGTTTTGGTAAATGCATCATATAATGCATCCGGTCTATGCTTCAAAGGAGCCAAATTTGAATGATGGAGGAATTTCATAAGCACGTCATTCCTCCAAGTTTTCATCTCTTCTTGCTCCCAAGTTATTCCTATTAACGTAATCAAGTTATCACTGGAATAGTTCATTCAGATTAAATTCTGAAGCGAGGATCGTTTATTTTTTTCTAGAGTAAATAGACTCACTTCTCTTATAACAGCAGACTCTACGCTAATAATAAATTTTTCACGAATATCTGCTCTAATTGTTAAGACAGATAAAGGCGGAATTAAGGCTGAATAGTAGAAGTCGACTAGGGGATCTAATGCAAATTCACTGATATACATAGTTTCAATATCTTCTAAATAATTTGAAAGTCTATCAGCGTATCTGTAACCTTCGTGAATCAACTTCTGGAATAACTTACCATTTGGATTGATCCATCGGCCGGTCAGAATGTTAAGTACTGTTTTTTGCATTATGGTTTATAGCGTTAGTGTAAAAAGATAATTTATCTCATGATAATACTGATTAATCTAAATACATATTTATTATAAAATTAAAAGTGAAAGAGGGTTTTATATCCTAAAATACTTTTGCTTTAGCGTTTTTGACCATGGCTCGCTTTACTTGCACACATATCAAGAAGGATAACACTATTTGTGGAAATAGGTGTTGTGACCCTACTGGATGTTATAGGCACTGAAAATTGTATGAAAAAAATCAGAAAAAAAACCCTGCTTTTTTAGTGGTTGTGGATATCATACTGATAATGATTCGAGGTATTGCTCCAACCACTCTGCTAAGATTTATTCACACAATTACCGGATGAAGCAGAAACGCAAGGCCGAGGGTCTTCAACCTGAAATCCCTGAAGCTTCAATTTTCAAGTTAGATGATGAGGATATGGGTGTTGACCTCTTTGGGAATTAGTGGTTAGCTCAAAATTTAGAGCATTAGGAATCCTCTCTGAATTTTCTGCCAGAAAGAAAGCAAAAAAATATTATTTCATTTATATCATTAAGTCAAATGGCGCTATTTTAGTATATAAATAAAACACATCAGGCATATTTCTGAAATGGGGCTTCTTCAGAATTATTATATAAAATATTGAAAGAAGCCCCATCTCAAAGTACGTATAATCTGATTCCGTAAAACTCAATATTGTATTTACACTGCTTTTATAACAGATCTGCCTACATAATATTAAATAAGTCTTGAATATCTTTCGCAAGTTGTATAGTATTTACATTAGAACTGGGAGTATCTTTGGTTATTTTTCCTCCAAAAGATTTTCCATTAATAGTTCATCGGGTGGAAGTTTACTATACCTATACCAAGTATCTTTACCATTTTCCCAATAAATTTCTTTCCCTGTTTGGTATGGGGGTAACTCAGGAGAATCATTATTATTGAATGATCCAACTAGATGGTAATGTCTGCTATGCTTGTCTATAGCCTTAAATTTTAACCCATAAGT